TCATTTTTATATACTAGCAATGAACAATTAAGATTAGATTTCAAAAATGTGATATATAATAAATGTGATATATAATAGATCCAAAAACTGAAACATTAGATGCAATTTAAGTATGCATACAGTCTATATTTTGAAAAAATACTGAAATGTAAAGAAAACTTTTTTTTTGGTCATGGGGCTTGAACTCTGGGCCTGGGCGCTCTCCCTGCACTCTTCAGCTCAAGGCTAACAGCACTCTACCACTTGAGCCATAGCACCACTTCCGGCTTTTTGTTCATGTGGTGCTGAGGAATCGAACCCAGGGCCTCATGCATGTGAGGCAAGCCTTCTACCACTGAGCCACCTTCCCAGCCCTTAAAGAAAACTTAAAGACCTGTCATATTCGTGGGTTCATCAAAAGACTTAGTATTGTAGATCTACCCAAAGTGATCTACAGATTCAGAACAATCCCAATCAGAATCTTAGTAGGATTATTGTATATCTATCAATGAGCAGTTGTCAAATATCAAATAATTGTAACACACAACTCCTGTAGATAGATCTTGAATGTTTCCCATGGCCCATATATAAAATGCTTGGTTTCCAGGCTGTGATGTTTTTGGGAGGTGGTAGATCCTTTAAATGGCATATCTCAGTGGAAGGAAGGCTAGGTAGGCTAGGTAAGAAGTTGCCCAAAAAAGAGATGTTAAGATGCTGGCCTCTTCTCTCTTTAACTCATTGCTTTCTGGTTGCAATGTGGTGGTTAGCTTTGTTCCTTCAGGTACCTGCTGCTCCTTCATGCTGCCTTGCTACAGGCCCAAGGACAATGGGGCCAGTGACTACGTGTGAAAGACAGCCATAAGTCAAAATAAACCTGTCCTTATTGTAAACTAATTTATCACAGTGCAAACTTATTTGTCACAGTGGGAGAAAGCTGACTAATAATAAAACAACCTAAACAGTCAAAACAACTTGGAAAGCAGAATGGAGATGGAAGGACTTGACCGGCCTGGTTCCAATGTCTACCGTAAAGCTCCAGCTATGAAAACATTGTTTTAACATTGGTAAAATGTAGACACATTAACCTGTGGGACAGAATCTAGAAACAGACTCAAAAATGTAGGTCATGAGCTTTTGACAAACATGTAGATGCAATTCAGTGGAGATAGGAGAATCTTCATAACCAATGTGAATCTCGACGCATGGAGTATAGACCTACATGTATAGTGTAATACTTAAAACTTCTAGTAAAAAAAAATCAAAAGAGAAAACCTCTGAGACTTTGGGTTAAGTAGGACTTATAAATATCACATTCAAAGCACCATTCATAAGAAAAAAAGTTGATAACTGGATATAAACTTAGAAACTTGTTCTTCTAAAGACATTTAAGAGAAGCACAACTCACAGACTAGGAGAGAGTATTTGCACATCACACACCTAAGAGGAATAATATCCACAGAATATAAAGAACATGTAAGCCTCAACAATAACTTAATAACTTAAAAAATGGGCAATGTTGGTACAAAGACTTGTATATGAATAGCAGCTTTAATAAAAATTTTCCCACAATGTCCTTTAATCCTACTGTTATAGATTGTTTCAAAGACATTTTAGTACAAAGTCAAACCCAAAAGCCTACATACTATTCTATCACTTTAGTATTCTGGAAAAGGCAAAACACTACAAAGGTAGTGAACAGGTTGGTAGGTGGTTATCATTGAGATGGAGTTGTATTGATAGTAAAAGAAAAACATGAAAGTTTTTTCAAGGGAAGGAACTGTATTTTGGGAGTAAAAACTTGATATTTCTCAAGTACATTGAACTGATTACCAGAGACAAAAAAGTGAATTTTTCTCTAAAGCAATTAAAAACTAAATTTAAATCAAGTGCTAATGGTTCATGCCGATAGTACTAGCTACTAGGAGGCTGAGGTTAGAGACCGCAAGCATATATATGAGACTTCTTTTCATTCAATAGCTGTGTACAGTGATGCATGTCTGTCATCTACTAAGGAAGTCTAAAATAGGTATATCAAAGTCCAGGAGTGTGTGTAGCCAGTAAGTGAGAGTATGCCAAAATAACTAGTACTAAAAAGTACATGGTCAGCCACACACTGGTGACTCATGCTTGTAATCCTACCTAGTCAAGAAGCTGAGGTCTGAGGATCAGTTCAAAGCCAGCCTAGCAGGAAAGTCCATGAGACTCTTTATCTCCAAGTAACTTCCAAAAACAAGTCAGAAGTGGGGCTGTGGCTCAAGTGGTAGAGTGCTTGAGCACAAAGGATCAGTGCCCATGCCCTGAGTTCAAGCCCCAGAATTGGCATAAAAAGAAGAGCATGACTCAGTGGTAGAGGACCTTCCTAGCAAGTGTTAGGCCCTGAATTCAAACCCGTGTGTGTGTGTGTGTGTGTGTGTGTGTGTGTGTGTGTGTCTATGAAATAATAATGTGTTAGAATAATCACTCATCTGAATTTAATATCTGAAATATAACCACCTTTTCCTGAGTTACTATACTTTATTACTGTATTTTAAAATTGGATCAGTAAATAGTTTTTGTTGTTGGTTTCTGGGCTTGAAAGTACTCAAAGCTAGCACTCTACACTTGAGCCACAGTGCCACTTCTGGTTTTTGAGTGGTTAATTGGAGATAAGAATCTCAAAGGGACTTTTCTGCCTGGGCTGGCTTTGAACCACGATCCTCAGATCTCAGCCTCATGAGTAGGTAGGATTACAGGCGTGAGCCACCAGAGCCCAGCCAGTAAGTACTTTTTAATGTTCTGTACAACAGGTAAAAATCAATCTCTATTTGTTTTAATGTTTAGATCAATGAATTCTGAGAGTCAGCTCTCTGGTGAGCATCTTCCTCGTTTGTTACCTGAACATAGCTGCCATTTTGCTCTGCACATCTCTTAGTTTTCATCAGTCATGGTTTATTTGGCTGTCTGGATTCTAAAGCTGAGCGATTGACTCTTGAGTGTTGTTACCTGAGGAGGCCGAGGCAGCATGGGGGCAGGAGGCAGATGGCTGTGTGGGCAGGGTGCAATGACTCATTTGTTTCATGTGTTTGATTTTTTTTTTTAATGTAGAAATGTTAAGGACCCCAAAAGAAAATCTTTTTATATTAAGCACCTTTGACCTGTCTCCTTTTAATGACATCAATAAATCTTCTTTCTCCTCCACAGTGTTGGACTTATTTTAATGAATGTGAGTTCTAATTCCATATTTTTAATAAGTAAGTCAGATTCTATATCAACTAGCTTTTTCAGAGTATTATTTTGGGGCTGGAGGTAGGCTCAATGATAGAGAACTTACCTAGTATGCTTGGCCCTAGCATCAAAAACACTATTATTATTATTAATCTTAGGGGACTTATGGAGACTTATTTTATTTTATGGTAAAAAATAACATTTCTGTGGACATACAGGTAACTTCACCTATATCATTTGTAAGACTTTTCTCTTTTATGATTTATTTTCCAAATGTTTATGGCAATGGTAAAGGCTGTTCTTAGTTTTTATGCTAATAATTTGTATCTTGATAATACTTGATATACCTCACTAAATTATATTTAGTACGTCAAGAGTAATCCAGTTAATTCTATTGGGGTAGGTTTTTTTTTCCTTTTGCTTTGTTTTTTTGTTGGCTGTCAAGCATCATATATCCAAGTAAAAATAATTATGATTTTATTTTAGAGAATACTTTCAAAAGATTTTACCAGATTGGTTGGGATTTTCAGAAAGCTATTGTATTGCTTGGGGGATTGTTGACAAACTTTTTTCCCTTATTTCCGTGGGCATACTTATAAGTACAAAATTTTATAAAATGTACATTGTTCACATTAGGGAATTCTTTAGTATTTTTAGTTTGTAACATCCATGTATGTGAATGGTGCTAAGGATTAAATGTAGGGTCTCATGCATATTACAGAATGTTCTTTAACACAAATCTGCCTTCCCAACTCACCATGCAGCTCTTCTTCATGGAAAATGGATTTTGTACTGCAATTAATGTATCTGGAGCATAAGTGGAAATTTTCATGATTTCTTTCATTGAGCCATTCTTGCATTCTACAAATAAAATTTAAACATAGTATCTATGATTCTCATAGTATAACACGTAATACATTTTGTTAGTTTTTCTTACATATTTGTCAATATCCAAAGTGAAATTCAGAGTAATCTGAATTTTATTTCTGGCAAAATAAAATTGTAAAATTCTGCCATTCAGTTTCTGGTATCTTCATATTAATTATCTTTACAAATTGGAGGAATTGGTATGTATAGCTCTATTGCCATTTTTAGTCTCAATTTACTATACTTTCACTTCTTTTCCTGATAATAATTGCCAAAATTTAGTTTATATTAATTCTGAAACCTAGCTCTGGATTAACAAATTTATCTGCTTTGTAAAAGACAATTTTTTTACTTGTTACATACTCTTTTTTTTTGGGGGGGGGGGTCAGTTGTAGGGCTTGAACTCTCGTTCCTGTCCCTCAGCTCTTCAGCTCAAGGCTAGTGCTCTACCACTTGAGCCACAGCTCCACTTCCAGTTTTCTGGTGGTTTATTGGAGATAAGAGTTATGGACTTTCCTGCCTGAGCTGGCTTTGAACTGCAGTCCTGGGATCTCAGCCTCCTTAGTAGCTGGGATTACAGGCATGAGCCACTGGCACCTGGCCTTGTTACTTACTCTTGTTTTCTACAGATCTGGTTTTTAAGTGGCTTTGTTCATAAACTTGTTTGTTTCATTGCTGAAATTTAGCAGAGAGCACTAGCTCCTGCTTTCCACCACAGTAATCTGCAATTATTATATGACTGTCTTGTTAAAAAAGATGCAGGTTTTGTAGAATTTTATAAAACTACTTTCAGTGGAACTGCAATTTTAAAATTCAGTTTGACATGAAGAGAGAAACATCCCTTTTCTTTCCTCATTTCCTCTTTTGAGTACTAAGTTAATGAAGCTGAAATGTGCTTATTAGGCATGATTTAGGAGTCATCTTTTGAAGTCTTTGTTTTCTACTTGCAGATATTGCGGTGGTAGAGATGAGTGATGCCTTCCGTCAGCCGTCCTTGTTTTACCATCTTGGGGTGAGAGAAAGCTTCAGCATGGCCAACAACATCATCCTCTACTGTGACACTAACTCAGACTCTCTGCAGTCCTTGAAGGTAGCTCTCTTGTTTTTTCCAGTGTTTAATTTCAGCACCGGTGTTCAAGGAGACCTCTTTTTCATCCAAAATATTTTAAGTCACTTATGCTTGTGCAAGTATGTTTTCGGTAATTAGTCCCCAATTACTTATGAATTTATGAGGTCTATCTGGACCTCACCATGAAGAAATGTAAGTGATACATAGGTAGAAAAAACTTATTATTGGGTTCTGAATTTTAGTTGAGTTGCTTCTGAGGAGACTGTGTTAAAAGAAGGCACAGGTACACACTTAGGATAAAGAAAAAGAGATTTTAGAAGGTATGTCAGGCCTGGTACCTGATCATTGGGCTCTTCATTGTACCCAAATTGTTCCAACTAAAGTATGCTTTCTACTGAAAGTGCTCAGAGTAGAAATTCTGAGTATCCTGAGAAAATTGCTATGCCTGTACACTGAAATAACATTTCAATCAAGGTGGGAATTAAAGCTTACTGCTTAAGATTACCTATTTGGATATCACTCTATCCATGAATAAGAATATCCCTGATATTAAAATCATTTCCTTTGCCAGCAAAGTTTCCTAACTAATTTTGCAAGATGACTTTACACTGTGGGATTCTTTGAACAGCATCTTACCATTCAGTGAACTTCATGCTGAGCCTAGAATGGCCCATTTCCTTTGTGCAGTTTCCAGCTCATTTCAAGTGGCCTTTTCTCATCTCTGTCCTCCAATTCCCAAATCAGAAATGGCCTTGGGATACAGGGCTCTAGAATGAGTTCAGAACATAATTCTAACAGCTCAACTATTGGTAACTGAAGTTTCTCAACCCTCAAATCCTTGCTAATTTTTTTAAAGTACTGTCTTGCTCTTTTGTGGGTATGTAAAGCATGTATGGCTCTCTCAGAAAAATGTGGACGTTGCACTGAGCAAATATATTTACTGTATGCCAGGCACTGGGTTGACATGCATTTCTTTTCAGAGTGAATTTTAGTCTTAATCTGCTTTTTGCTTAGAGTGATCTTTAAGATCACTACTTAATTTTCCTATAGTTTTACCCCTTTCATTACTACATAATAAAATTTGGAACTGACTGTTAAGATAAACATTTTGATTAGCAGTTGATGAAAGAATGAGATGATTTTATTTATTCTTGATCCTCTTCATTTTTCTTTAGCTTAAGTTAAATAGGTGAGGCTGTATCAGAAACTTTCTTTCTATTCTGTTTTGTTCTTCCCCAGCTAACATCTGACTATCAAACGTTATGACAGTTCTTTCTTAGGGAAGTTTTTTTCATGAATTACAGTTACATTTGAGAGAAAGAAATAAAGCTAATCTTACCGGGAACTTGTATGAGCCAAAGAATCTGGCTTAATTGTTTTCTTAGGAATATTTGAGTAAAGGAGTTCTTTAAAAAGTCTAAGGATATCTAAACTATGCTTATTAATCTTGTATGTGCTTATTATCTTGCTTCTTGAGCATCTCTACCATATGCTAGGTATTTAGTGCTTTATGTATATACATTTTGGGGGTGGGGGTCTGGTCATGGGGACTGAACTCTGGGCCTGGGCACTGTCCCTCAGCTCTTCAGCTCAAGGCTAGCGCTCTACCACTTGAGCCACAGTGCCACTTCTGGCTTTTTTCTTTTTGCTTATGTGGTGCTGAGGAATGGAACCCAGGGCCTCATGCATGCAAGGCAAGCGCTCTACCACTGAGCCACCTTCCCAGCCCCCTGTGTATACATTTTTTTACACTGCATTTTTGTGTGTGTGCATGGTGTTAAGAGCTGAATCCAGGGTTTGGGGACATGACCTTGAGCCACTGCTCTACTGCTGAGCTACATTCCCCAGCCCATAGTTAATTTTTTTCTTTTTTGTCAGTCAAGGGGCTTTTACTTAGCACCTAGGTGCTGTCCCTGAGTTCTTTTTACTCAAGACTAGTGCTCTCCACTTTGAGGCACAGCTCCACTTCCGGTTTTCTGGTGGTTAATTGAAGATAAGGGTTTCACAGACTTTCCTGCCTGGGCTAGCTTTGAGTCATGATCTTCACATCTCAGCCTTCTGGGTAGCCAGGATTGCAGGCATGAGCCACCAGCACCTGGCTTCTTAAGGACTCTTCATAAAGACTTTCAAGCAGTAATCCTAATGAGAATTTTAATGTGGAGGAAATGTATTTTAATTTTGTTGTTGTTGTTGTTGGATGTGAGGCCTGAACTCTGGGCCTGGACGCAATGCTAGCACTCTACCACTTGAGCCACAGAGCCACTTCCAGCTTTTTCTGCTTATGTGGTGCTGAGGAATGGAACCCAGGACTTCATGCATGTAAGGCAAGCACTCTACCACTGAACTACCTTCCCAGCCCTGTATTTTAATTTTTAAAGCACTTTTGATAGGTATATTTTCTATCATAATTTTACAGAATTGCAAGCTGAGACTCAGACACATTCATGTTTCCAAGATGATAGAGCAAAGGACATTTTCAACCAGATCTGCCCCACTCCACAGCCAATACTACCTAACCACCAGCTTATTCATTGTCTATTGCATTTCTCTCCGTATCTGCAGAGGATACAGGATTTTTCATTAAAACAAACAAACAAACATTAGCTAGGCCTCTCATATTTTCCTGTGTAACATGTAGCTTTTTTTTCTCCTTTTCTTTCCCTTTCCATTAACATGAGTCTTCCATTTTCTTACACCATTTCTAACCAGTCAGTCTGTGGAGCCTTGTAGTACAGGACAGAAATATGTGGCACAGGAAGTATTTTTTATAGTCTAAACAATTTCCTGCCCTAAAAGGTCCTCTTTACTGCAAAACATTGATGGGTAGGTGTAGATGGAACTGTGCATACTTGTATTTAATTTTGCAGTGGGTAATAGAGATAACCTTCTTACCTCTTACCATCTACAACAGAAAGAAAGACTACACTGGAATAAGGACAAGAGATAGTCAGATCACAGCTCAAGGGAGGATAGGCAGACAAAGTAAAGCAACTCCCTATTTTCACAGGGGTAGAGACAGAATTAGAGTGCTATTCTTGTTATATATGCAGTTTGCGTACGTGGATTCTTTGGGCATCAGAGAAGGTACAGCTGCACTGGTTTTATTTTCATCTACTGCTCTGTGTTGAAGACAGCAGTTTCTCTTTGGCAGTGAATTCTTAGAAATAGAAAAAAATATCTTTACACTTCTTGAAAAATTATTGATGGGAACTATAAAAGTACTTAAAAACTATGTCTAAATTGTAATTTGGAAGGAGATTTCACATGTACTCATTAGGTACTTGCAATAAAATTCTTATCTGTTGTAATTCACAAACACTATTCCATTCTAGAAGATATGGTGTCATTTATCTTCTTTCCAAAATAGATCATTTTACTTTCTGAAAGGGAAGTTGGTTCTTTTTTATTTAGCATTATAACAATTTTCTTTAAACCAATCTCATGAGAAGTTCTCATGAACCTAATAATGCTCACTGAAGACAGATGCTGAGATTTACATTTGCTTTAAAATAAGAAATGCTAATAACAGATGTTGGGTTTGGGTTTTTTGACATATTTGCACATTTAAAAGGAGTCTCTCAGTAAGTGGAGAGTCAATCTGGACTCTGCTGCCTAGTGAGCTGTGGTACAGATGCATGAAACATATCTGATATCAGAAAATTGCTCTCCCTCCATCCCCTGAGAATTGGAGAACTGAATCTGCTAAAACAAAAAATAAGCAGAGCTAAGCTAAGGAGAAGAGGTGAACAAATTTATTATTATACAAGGATATAGGAGGCACACAAAGTATGTTAACTCAAAGATGGGGCTGAGTGTTGATGCTTAAATACTGTCCTCAGAGGAAAGAGGGAAGTGGAGAATAGATGCAATGTTAGAAGAAGAATAAATATTCACATTGTTTGTTTTGTGTTGATAGAAACTGAATAGAGGACCATAGTAAGTAAGTGCTGTATCATTGATTTCCTGTTCTCCAGCCTGAAGAGAAAATGATTTTTTGAGTGTTCTATTTTTTATTTATTTATTTTTATTTTTTTGTCGGTCGTGGGCCTTGAACTCTGGGCTTGGGTGCTATCCCTCAGCTCTTCAGCTCAAGGCCAGCGCTCTACCACTTGAGCCACAGCACCACTTCTGGTTTTCTAGTGGTTTATTGGAGATAATAGTCTCATGGAGTTTCCTGCCTGGGCTGGCTTTGAACCGTGATCCTCAGATCTCAGCCTCTGAGTAGCTAGGATTACAGGTGTGAGCCACCGGCGCCTGGCGAGTGTTCTATTTTTTAAAAAATTATATTCATTTTGCCTTTAAGTAGTTGTTCAAAGGGGTTATATCATTCAACACATCAGCTTCTAAGTTCCATGTATCTTGATCACTGTTACCCCTTTCATTCCCCCATCTCTCCCAACTCAGCCCCTCCCCTCAATTTTCCTAATTTCATTGGATATACATTGAATATTATAACTATATTCTCAGTAAGTCAATCTCAAGAGAAATAAGTGGGTCCAAAGAACAGACAGTAGCCTGAGACAGTTCACCTGGGCTGAGAATGTGGTGTGTAGTGTTGATTGTAGATTCTAGTCTTTCTGTTAGATAATCTGGAGGATTTGGCCTTCAGCTAGAGACAGGAGCTACAGAGAGACACAAGGGACAGGAGAATGTCAGAGAGATCTTGGCTCTGAGACTGCATTTTAGTTCAAAGTGCTCAGCTTGTCTGAGTGCCATATCTGGGGGTCTCATTTTTTTGAGCCCTAACAACCATTTCTTCTTTAACCAGCACTCCTTTTTTTGTGACCATTTTCTCCTGCTTCCTTCTCTAGCTCCTTCCCTCCTGCCCACATTAAGCAATGTTGCTTATAAAACAAAGCAAAACCAAACAGTGAAACACTACTGCACATCGTAGTATAGTCAATATTTAAAAGCTCTGGTAAGGGCTAGAGTGTAACTTGGTCATAGAGCACTCACTACCTAGCATGCATGAGCTCGGGGCACACCCACCACGGGCTCCCCTGCGGGGCCCCCTCCCACCCTGCACACACAATGGGAAATGTACAGATGTACAGATATACTGCTGGGAGAGAGTGTGTAATTCATAGTCGCTTCAGAAAGCAATTTGGTAATGTCTAAAAATATCAAGTGAGCACATCACTGAGACTGAGCAATTTGTGTGTGTGTGCGCTCGCTCTCGTGCTGGGCCTTGAACTCAAGTCTTGGGCACTTTCCCAGAGCTTTTTCTCTCAAGGCTAGCACTCTACCATTTAAGCCACAGCTGTACTTCTGGCTTTTTAAATTTTTGCTGGTTAATTGGAGATAAGAGTCTCACAGATTTTCCTGTCTGGGTTGGCTTTAAACCTCAATCATCAGATCTTAGCCTACTTAGTGGTTTGTATTACAGGTGTGAGCCATTGTGCTCTGCTTGAGACCGAACAATTTTAACCTCAGATGTGAACTGTTAAAAAAAAAAAGTCTCTCATATGCATAAGAAAAGCTAGTGACAAGCTTTCCCCCTCTATTATTAGGTACTACTATCCATACTACTTCCTTTTGCAGAGCTATATCAAAAAACCTGAGAGAACAAATTAGAAGGGGAAAGGTTTGTCCTGGGTTCATGCTTTGGGAGCGGTCGGTCCTCTGTTGCTGGACCTCATGCACTTGGGCAAATCCCACGGCCTTGGGACCATGTGGGGAGGTGGTGTTCTCTTCGTGGGAGGAAAGAAGCCAAGAGTGAGAAAGGGAACAGGAGTGTCATGTAATTTTCAGTCTCTCAGAGACCTATTTCCTCTAGCTAGGCTTCACTAAAACAATGCCAACTGGCTGGGGACCAAGCATTCAAAACATGAACCCATATTCAAACCATAACACCACTGAATTAGGACTTCTAAAAGCTCAAAAGGCTTTATTTGTCTTTCTTAGGACATTCGTATACCTGATGCCACAATTTAAATGTGCAAAAGAGCTATTCTCTTACTTTGATCCCCTAGTCAACTAGCTGATTCCATTGACAACTACTGTTCTGTTCCTTTCGTACCCATTGGAGAGATTTTATTATGAATGTGCAAATTAGAATGTCCTTGCTCTCTCTCTTTCTTTTTTAAACACTATCTTTAAGTAGTAGTAAAAAAGGTTTCAACATGTCAGTTTAGGAGTACAATGCATCTTGATCCTTCTTATACTGAAATAGGAGCAGAGTCTAAAAGCTATTCAATTTTTTCTCTAACTTACCAGTATATCTTGGTCAATGTTTCTGTAGCTGTGCAGAAAGCATGCCCTTATTCTTTGGCTCCATTCTGTTCTGTTGATTGGAGAGGGATATAGTTTACTTAACCAGTTTCTAGTGATGCACATTTGTGTGGTTCCCAACATTTGCTACCAGTGTTCCAATAAATGCTGATAGGTTTTCATTCATACACTCCCCTTAAACAACACTTTGTGAAGTGGGTGTGTAGTACATGCCTGTAATCCCAGCACTCAGAAGTCTGAGGCATGAGGCCTGTAAACCTAGACTATACAGCAAGATCCTGTCTCAAAAAAAAAGCTCCAAATAACTCATATCTGTACGTGTCAAAATGAACTTTCTACTTTAGCTCAATGGTGTTATTCAGGATCTGTTTCTAAAGTCTCTATAATTCTTTCTTCTATAGATCCCCAAATGAACTTCCTTCCTTGGTTCATATTGATAATACTTACTGTTTCTTAAAGGGGTCCTCTGCTTTCCCTAGATCTCTAGCTGGGAACTCAGCCTCCTGGCTTTGTGTTTGAATAGATCTCGGCTCACAACTCAGCCTGAAAGCAAGCTCTATCTCCTCTGCTGATCTTCCCAGACCTCTTCATTCTGCAGTTCATCTTTCTCTGAGAAGCTATAAAGCTTGCTGTTAGCTTGTGCTTTTAGCATGTGTGTGCACACATGCAAGTCCATCTAGGCTTGCAATATGTCATTTCAAATGTGCATGTGTCCTTTCATGAATCAACAAGGTTGTAAGGCTTTGAAAGTGTATTTTAGTATTTCATTCGTATCTATATGGCTCGCAGGACCCGCCAGTGCAGTTTCTTCCTCTTTCACTTTTACATTCACATCTGGTACTCTTGAATATTCAACAGTCTTGCATATTGCTCTAAGTCAAAGCCTTTGGCCCTCTGTGTTGCTTTAGCATTGCAACAGAAGGACCAAAGACAATGGCTGGTCAGCTGGACTCTGATGTCTGGCTCTTGTACTGAGCCAGATGGATTCACCTTTGGGGCTACACAAATGCTTTCCATTTCTGGTTTCCATGACAGCATGCCTGCCATCTTTTCCAGTGCACTACCCCATTTTCTCTTCTAAATAACAATCTCAGCAAAGCCTGTATTCTGTGTATTTTTCAAGATTGTCTCCCCAGTGTCTAGTTATTTGAATGCCTAGAAAGAATAATAATTGCATTTTGCTTTTAGTGAGAGTTTGTTTTGCACAGGCACTGCTTGGCCACATTATTTGCATGATATTAACACATTCTTTACCACCTAAAAGTTAGGGACACTGCGTATATGGGTTATCAATTCTATTATACATTCTCTGTGTTTGTGTGGGTGTGTGTGTGCGCACATACATGCACACACACACACACACACACACACACACACACACACACACACACACACACACACACACACACACACACACACACACACACACACACACACACACACACACCATGGTCCTAGAGCTTAAACTCAAGGCCGTGGGCTTTCTCTTTGTTTTTTTCACTCATGACTAGCATTCTACCACAAGAGACATTCCTCTACTTGTGGCTTCTTTTTTTTCCTAGTTAATTGGAGAAGAGATTTCAGTGTTTTGTTTTTTTTTCTATCTGAGCTGTCTTTGAGCCTCAATCCTCAGATTTCAGCTTCCTGAGTAGCTAAGATCACAGGCATGAGCCACAAGCACCCCGCCTTGATTTTTCTTAGTGTTACTGGGGTTTACTCAGGACAATACTTGTTAAAGTGGAGCTCTGCTGCTGAGCCATGCCTCCAGCCCATGTTTGTGCTGGTTGTTTTTGAAATAAGCTCTCACTTCCTGCCTGGGTGTATACATGGACCATGATCTGCCTATTTTAGGGTTCTCTTTGGAGTGAGGTTTCTTCCATTGAGTTGGAGTCTTACAGACTTTTCTTGCAGATTTTCTGGCAGAGTTGGCCTTGAATTGAAATCCTTCCAGTCAGAGCCACCCAAACAACTAGGATAACAGGCATGAGCCACTAGCATCCAACTCCATTGCCCTTCTAGTACTCAAAATACTCAAGTTATACTTACACAACTATTATTGTCTGGTGTTCTTACTATTTATCGGTTTGCCAGGGGTCAGTACCTTTCATTTGTAGCTACCCAATGTGCTTAGGGAAAGGAAACTTGTTTGAATTTTTTTCCAAAGAGACTGTAGCTGATCAGGAAATTCTACACATACATTTTCTGTGGAAATAATTTTAGATTATTCAGTCCAGGGATTTTACACAATTGCAATATTATTCTTAAACCATAGATAATAATTTTGTGTTTTCCTGTCTGCTCCATCATGTTATAAACTTCCGAGATGCATAGGTTCATGATCTCTACAAAATTTCTAATTGCTAATATAAATGTTAATACAAATTTTTCCACTTAAAGTAGTTCCACTGAGTTGTCTTTTGTATTAATATTGTCTCTGCTTTTCCCTCTTGTTTTTCAGGAAATCATTTGCCACAAGAATACTGTGAGTATTTTACTTAGCCTTCCACAAAGGCTTAAGTATGCTTTTATTCCATCAACTAATCTCTGATATATTCTTAATCTTTACAAATTACTAATTTTTGTTACTCCTTCTAGAATTTCTTCATCTAAACAATTCTTTGCAATGATAGTTTATTTATAATGATGGACATGGCACTGATACATGGGTTTTATATATGTATTTACATTTTAGAAAAACAATTTCCAGTGGGCTGGGAAGGTGGCTCAGTGGTAGAGTGCTTGCCTAGCATTCATGGGGCCCTGGGTTCGATTCCTCAGCATCACATAAGCAGAAAAAGCCAGAAGTGACGCTGTGGCTCATGTGGTGGAGAGCTCACCTTGAGCTGAAGAGCTGAGGGATGGTGCCTAGGCCCAGAATTCAGGCCCCACGACTGACAAAAAACAAAAAAACACAATTTCCACAATATTTCAGTGTTGTGGGGTTATAAAGCACTGAATGAGGATAAAACATCATATATAGAAATAAACACAAATATAGATTCATTCATAAAGATATACATATGTTGGTGTATTTATATATTTATGTAGTATATATCATATACTCATATATATCATATACATACATGTATATATGTATACATAAAATATATATGTATCTATGTAACTACCTATCATCTATCTCATTATTTAGCAAGAATAAGTTAAGTTCCAAAATGTTTAAATCTGTCTTTTGAGATCAAACTACAGAATTCCAAGAAGAATTAAACACAAAAAAGTGAGAAAATAAAATTTAAATTAAAAAAAATGCTGCATGAGGAAACATTTTAATCTTCTAGTGAAAATAGCCCTGTTAGGAAAATGCTGTGTAGATTTAATTTTAGAAACTAAGCTTGTATTAAAAAAAGATCTTAAAGGATATATATGCCTGCAATTTAGAGTGAAAAGAATATATAACATAAAGACTGCAAGTGATTAAAAGTTAGATTACAAGATTAAAAATGCAATTGATAGTTTTTCTTTAGATGGGAAATTCTAAAACTAAGATTTCCCCAGGTCAGAGCCCTCATTGCTGTATGGCTAAAGTTGCCATTATAAAGCCTTATCCTTCTCATCTCTACAGGAAATGAGCACTTCCTTGCTGCATGCTTTCAATGCAGTATAACGCATTTTATATCACAGGTACTAACTGAACATGATCTATATGTCAGGTGCTGGGCTTGGTCCTGGAGGGGACTCATGATACAGGTTGAGAGTGGGGACAACAATCTTCACAACAGTCCCACAAGACAACAAAAGAGAAGTACAATTGGAAGAGCTCAGTGATCCATATGTAAGCACACCACTAGAAAATGAAAGTTAAGATGACCTGCTAGGGATGGAATAGCTATGTTATCAAGGTATCAAGGTCCTTGATAACATAGGTGGCCTTCCCTTATATGGGAAGCAGGAGAGAACCAGTCACAGCCAGCCCAGTTTGGATACATGGAGAAGCTGGGTGATGAGAGGTTTAGATGGCACCTGTGCATCAGAAGCAAGGTGCTCATTGACTTGAGAAAGCTGTTGTGGTCCAGGTGTTGGGTGTCCTTGAACAGCTGAATGTTGTACACATCTGATTCGATGTATTTTTTTCCAGAAGCTTCAATGATTTTCCTCCCACATTTATATCCACCTCATATAGTACATGACATTGAAAAACAGAATCAGACTTCTTTGTGTAAACAGTGAAGATAATTAGAATAAGATTTTATTTTGAGTTTGGAGGTTTTATAGCCATGAGAGTAAACATGGACCAGAGAGATCATTGTCTGTTTCATGGCCACACCTTCAGAGTTGGAGATATGTGTCTTTCTCTTTCAAAAAATCAGGTTTAATTATTGTAGAAGTAGTACCTTATTACTAAAAGGCAGCTGCTACATTTGAGGTGTTTTGCTCTTGCTCATACAGTAGTATGTTATTTATTTTGGATTATTATCTACTTCATACTATAAATTCAGTGGCAATCTACAAGTAGAAATTACTATAATCATATTGCTAAGTTATATGGGAACTAACTTGGGAAACAGATGTTCCCATCTCATTAATTTTCATTATTTCACTAGAGTGGATTTTCTCAGCAGTTGTTATCTTTCTGGAAAGCACAATGTCATGGGAACAACCCCAATGAACGCTCTGTGCATGCTGTCTGGCTGCCTCTTACCCCTGGCCTGCTTTGTGCATCCTGGCGCCTCCTGCAGCTGGTCCCTTTTCCCCTGTCTTCCCACATTGATAATGGCACATTGAAAATAAAATTATTGCCTTTGCAGCATGGAGAAGGAACTCCCTTGCATGTCGTGAGGCTGGAAACTTGGGAAAAGCTTTAGCATGCTTGGGTGTTTTCAACAAAGATTCTGATGGCCTATACCATGGGATTTATTTAGGGAGTGCTTTTCCTGCTGATTGTATAATTCTCATTTTACCACTCCATTGCCAAACCTCAACACCAGACATCTGGTAGTCATCCTCTTCCAGAATTAGTTTTACCAAACCCATGATTCTCAATGCCTACTACTTCAGTAATGATGTATAGTTCATTATTGCTGTGCCCAGTATTTCACTAATGATGTGTATGGCTCATGCTTTATACACAAGTACTCATGTTTCTAAGGCTTCTGAAGATACAGAATTTTATTAAGCATTTGAGTATTGGAAAGTTTGGACAGCAAACTTTATTTTAGGGGTTTATTGGCTTTTAAATCCATTCTCGTTTTGCATCTGAGCAGATTTGAAACTTTGCTTTTATGCCAGATTGTTGGTGGCTCATACTTATAATCCTAACTACTCAGGAGGCTGAGATCTGAAGAAGCAAATTGCAAATTCAAAGCCAGCCCAGGCAGAAAAGTCTGAGAGACTCTTAACTCCAGATAACCAGCAAAATGCCAGAAGTGGAGCTGGGGCTCAAGTGATAGAGCATCAGCCTTGAGCAATAAGCCAAAGTGAGGGAATGAGACCCAGAGTTCAAGCCCCAGTACCACAATAAATAAATAAATAAATAAGCAAATGAATAAACTGGTTTTTTTTGCCAGGTCCTGGTGGCACACACCTATAATCCTAGCTACTCAGGAGACTGAGATCTGAGGATGTGGTTCAAAGCCACCCCAGGCAGGAAATTTCATGAGACTCATCTCCAATTAACTACCAGAAAAACAGAAATGGTACTGTGGCTAAAGCAGAAGAGCTCAGGGACAGCACCCCCAGGCCCTGAGTTCAAGCCTCACGACCGACAAAAAATAAAACAAAACAAAAAAAAACCCACTTTTGTCATTTTGGTTTATGATGGGTTTCTAAAATATTCTTCTGCGATAATTCATGCATAGCTTAAGCTCTAGAAACTTTGGGAACGCCCCTGTCTGATGTCCTTTAGGCAGTGGCTTGAGTCAAAGGACTCGTGGGCATGCTATAAGATCTTGGTAACCTTGTAGAGGCAAGACTTTGATTGTTCCCTCCCCCCCCCCCCCCCGCCCCCTTCCTGATCAGTCTTCCAGCCATTGCGTGAAGAACTTGGGAAAGGAACAGTTGAATGTAGTCAACCTCTTACAGTTCCCAGATTTTATCTGTAATTCGGAATTGTTACTGCTTTTTTACTGACATGTAAGTGCCTCAAAGGGTAATATAAATAAATATCATAAATAATTAAGTTTGACATTTCTTATCTGTTTCCTGTACTCAGCCACGTGGCTCAAGGAAGATTCCTGTAGAAGGTGAAAGAAGGTTGGAAAGCAGGGGTCAGTCACACGGGTGGTCACATATGTCCTTATAGAGAAGGGTCTTTTGTTTTGGGGTGGTTTTTTGTTTTTGCTTTTGTGCCGGTTCTGGGGCTTGAACTCAAGGGCCTAACCAAGTGCTGTTCCTGAACTTCTTTGCTCAAAGCTACCCCTCTTCCACTTGAGCCACTTCTGGCTTTTTGTTGTTGTTGTAGTAAATTGGCGATTCTTTGATCTAGTCACAAACACATCGCAGATCAGCTGCGTGAGCTAATCTCCCTTTCTCCCTACCTGTAAATAAAAGGTAACAGCACCTTCTTCAGTGAGTTTTATTCATGCATGTGCTGTAGTTAAAGTTGAATGTATGACTGCACCATGCTAGACTAGACCTTGGCCTATGCAAGGACCGAGTAAAAATTTACCCTCACTGGACTAGTGCTAAGAAGAGAGTTACTCTCTTGCTTCCCCTGTGCCTGTGTGGCTGGTAGCCAATACTGGAACTTTGAGCGTCCCTACAATGGTGACAGTAGGGTTTGTTGGATGTCTCATTCAAGTGCTTACCCCTTTCCTTTTGTCTGCCTGTGTAGAGAGATCCCTTCCATTTTCGTTAAGGCAACAAAAATTCCCAGGCCAGCATTTGGACTTGAAGTTTCTTTACATTGTCATCTCATATTTACAACTATCTTCTAGACATTTTCATTAAAAAAAAAAACAATCTGTTAATCCCACCCATCTCTCCTCTTACCTATCTTACTCCAATCAAACCTTAATCTGCTGAAGTTTTTTGGTTTTTTTTGTGAGTTTTTTAATGTTTACCTGGAAGTTGGATTTTGTTTGGAGTTACTACCAAATGGATAGCAGGTTTCTCAAAGTGTGATGTGTTCATCAATAAATGAGCATGATCCTGCTTTCTAAATTCTTGCTTTCAGCTCACATTAACACTCTTTTTTGGTAGTCCCATTTGGACTGATCTTTGACTAGTTCTGCACATGGGCAATTGGTTACCAGTCCAAGAGAACTGAGCTTGTGTATCTTTCTCCTTTGTTATTGCTGTCCATTTGGTCATAGTCTGCAGATTCCTACCCAATTTTTTAAACCATATTTCTTTCTTTTAGTGTAGCTTATTATCTGTCTCTACAGCCAAGATATGCAGCTGTGGTTATGTTTTCTTCCCTGCTCTTGATTCTTTTTGATTTTTTCCATTGCCCAGAACGTATAGATTTTGTTGTTGCCCCTTTTGAGACAGAATATTGCAACATGGCTCAGGCTGACCTAGAACTCTTGTTCCTCCTGCCTCAGCCTCTGAAGTGCTAGGATTACAAGTATACGCCACTATACTCAGCTTCCCAGAATATATAGTTTTGAACCTTTGCTTGCCTTCAGTTTCCTTCCCTGAGCCTCAAGTGCTTGTCAGATTTGTTGACTTGGGATGTCCAGTCCTTTTCCTTTTGTCTTCTTCCTGGCAGTGTTTTTTGGCATGAATACACTTTAGTTAAGCATGATCTTGGAAATGATAGAGACTCAGTGAGTTCAGGTCATAATGAATTAGGGAAGAGGGACCAGGCAAAGCTAGTGAGAGGCAGGATCTTCAGGGTTCGGGCCTTCCAGGATTCCAGTACAGAGTCTCATCTTCATCCTAACCATACTAGTTAGGACTTTGTGCAACTGTGGGAAGCTGTCTGATGTAGAGTAAAAAGGAGATGGGGATGGAGAGGGGGTAAAAGTAGAAGTAGGGCCAGTGCCTGTAGTGGTAGAGCGCTAGCTTTGAGCAGAAAAGCTCAGGCCCCAAGTCCAAATAAAAAGTAGAAGCAGAAAGACCAATGGAAACCACCTGCACAAGCTCAGCCAGGTACCCTGGTGCAGGGGCTTGAATGCTGAGAGAGAGGATGGAGGCAGAGAGCCAAATCTCAGACACATGGTGAAGGCAGACTAGGTAGGACAGTGTGTAGGAGGGAAAACATGATCATCAAAGCTAACTTCTGAGTCTAGTTTTAGTGAGGGTGAGATGAGTAGGTATAACCTTGGAAAGCAGCTTGAGGGGAGCAGCTGTGTCCTGGCTTCAATCCGGCACTGCTGGTTATAGCAAAACACTTCAGCTGTTAGTTCACAGTATTTTCCTGTATTTCTATTGTGTTTCTGACTAAAATTTAAATTCCCTGAATGCTGAAAGTTGTGCTTTTCAAATACTCATATTTTCCCTACAGCATGAATCATAGTGCTTTAAGCCATACAAGATGGTGAATAAATATTTCATGGTTGATAGAAATAGTTGCATACATTTTTTTTTGGTATCCTCTGTAATCATATGGAAGTAAGCAATTAAACAGATGGGGAAATTTCCATTTGCATGGGTCATAACTAAGAAATGAGGGGGTTTTTGTGTGTGTGAAACCTGGGATTGTGTTATTGTGGCACCCCCTGGCCAGGTGTCTCCTCTCTCCCCAGATGTGCACCGGGAACTACACCTTTGTCCCTTACATGGTGACTCCACATAACAAAGTCTACTGCTGTGACAGCAGCTTCATGAAAGGCCTGACGGAGCTTATGCACCCCAACTTTGACCTGCTGCTGGGGCCCATCTGCTTACCTCTCACGGACCGTTTCATTCAGCTTTTGAAGGTGGCCCAAGCAAGTTCCAGGTAATTCTTAGGGCTGACATTTGCATGCTAGTAATGTGGTATGGTTTTACTTCATTTATTCCTGCAGCTTATCCTATATCTTTCAGATTGTTAGATGATTAAGAACCAGGAGGGAAAGAGGGAACAGCTTGCACTAAGCAAAAGGAAAGAAATGTAAATATCACCTGATATGGAAGAAATCATTTGTAGTGTCAAAGCTCATAGAATTCACAAACTTTATAGACCATGATAATGACAGTTTGCCTTGTGACTTTTGTTTGTGACTTCAATTAAGTATCACTATTCTACAATACTGTGAAATAACTGAAATGTATGTAATTACCTAATCTCAATTAAAAAATAGAACCAAAAAAACAATGTGCAGTGTCTTCTAAATGGATAGAACAGATGCTATTATAATTTACCTATTGCATTTTATCTCCTTCATAGAACTTGAAATCTATCACCCAAAAAAGACAGTTAATTACTTTATAATAATGGCAGAGCAAAAGATACATGCAAAACAAGTATAGAAACATCAGAATAAATGTCAGAGACTTTTAGTGTAAAGAGTCAAAACTCTGAAAAAATTTGTGTATTTCAATTATGTATTTGCTTAACCATTTTTTGCTAAAAATGAATGGTGATACTGAGTTGGAAAGTAAAGGTTACACCATGTTAAGATCATAGGCAGAATTCACTTATTTAGAATAGTTTCCACTCAAAATAATAAATTCTAATAGAGTTTGAGCCTTTCCTGAAACAAGATGAGAATTAAAAGAAATACATGGACTCTCATCTTTATTTTTGTGCTAGTATGGAGCTTGAACCCACTCAGGGCCTAGTACTATTGTTTGCCTTTTTCACTCTGGCATGGTGCTCTACCACTTGAGCCACTTAAGGTCTCCCACCTCAACTTTTGGCAGATTAGAGTCTTATGGTATTTTTTTGCCCTGGTTGGCTCTGAGCTAGAATCCTCGTATCTCAGCTTCCTTAGTATCTAGGATTACAGCTGTGAGCCACTAGAAGCTTCACATGCCAAACACATGAGGTATTCCTTCTATGCATCTTAATACCTGGGAATCTACTTGTGCAGAAATGTCATTCTTTTCCCTATAAAAATTTTCACTTAACTCTTTTCCAATGTTAACTATTAGAAATGTGTTTTCTTTTCCCCAGCCAATATTTCCGGGAATCTATACTCAATGATATCAGGAAAGCTCGGAATCTGTACACTGGTAAAGAATTGGCAGCTGAATTGGCCAGGATCCGGCAGCGAGTTGATAACATCGAAGTCTTAACAGCAGATATTGTCATCAACCTGTTACTTTCCTACAGAGACATCCAGGTGAGAAGATGCTGAAGGTAAAAGCTTTGTTATGTAGCATTTGAGAGTAATCAGCTGGCTAATAAATTATTTATGCTGCTTGACATAATGTGTATGTGCGCACACGTGCGTGCAATTATGTTGGAGCTTGAACTTAGGGCCTGGGTGTTGTCCCTTAGCTTTTTCTCTCAAGACTGATGTTCTTGAGCCACAGATCCACTTCTGGCTTTTTAGTGGTTAATTGGAGATAAGAATCTCATGGTGGGGCTGGGAAGGTGGCTCAGTGGTAGAGTGCTTGCCTTGCGTGCATGAGGCCCTGGGTTCGATTCCTCAGCACCACATAAATAGAAAAAGCCGGAAGTGGCGCTGTGGCTCAAGTGGTAGAGCGCTAGCCTTGAGCTGAAGAGCTGAGGGACAGCGCCCAGGCCCAGAGTTCAAGCCCCACAACCAACCAAAAAAAACAAAAAGAAGAATCTCATGGACTTTTTCCTGCCCAGACTAGTTTTGAGCCATCATCCTCAGAACTCAGCCTCTTCCTGAGTAGCTAGGATCATGGCCCAAGCCCCTGGCACCTGACTCACATAACTTTTTATTGACCCTTCTATACTTTTCATCTAATGATTTTCTGATGAATGAAAATGACCCATTAGCCAACAATGATTGTGAAATACTTGTATTATAAATATTTGACTTGTCCTTGAGAGAAGACAAAAGAAAATCTGCTCACAGAGCTAATCCTTTCTAGTCTGCTAGCCTCAGTCAGGCATACCTGGCAGTCAATAAATAAAAGTTTTGTTTTGGCAACTGGCAAATATTCTGAGAGCTTTCAGGGAATATCTTTTACTTCCTGAAGTTATGTTGTGTTTGAAACTGATAGTGCCAGAAACAAGAAATATGCAGTTAATTATAAAATCAAACATATCAATATAATCTCTCTCATTGACATGTCTTGGGAATTTATTTTGGTAAGTAGAATGCTCTCTCAGATTGGGATTTGCTGTTAGGTTTTGTGATAAAATTTAAGTGACTTTGGGTTTCTTATTTTCAGTCCTAGGCTCTTGGGGCTATGTAAACCTTCATAAAGACAAGAGACATATATATGTGGAGCATGATGAAACCTAAGAGCTCATGGAGACAGTAACTTACCAATGTGAACCCTTTGCTACTTATAACAGAAATGCAAGCAACTGCTCTGTGTCCTTGAAATATTTTATTTCCCTGAAACTGATTGAGTCTGGCTCTGTGGAGAATGAACTATTCATTTTTAAATAATAGAGTATCATCTTGCTGGGTTGTTTTTTTGTTTGTTTATTTCTTTGGCTTTTGTCAAACATAACAACTGCATGCTTAATGGTTTTTACCCAGTTAATTGAAACAGAAAAAAAAACCCACAACAGCAATTTCTTCTAAATTCTCTAAAATATTTAATGGACTCTTTCCCATTTCATGCTCTCCTCAGATTCATGTGTTTAGGGGTTGAGACATTTCATTGTCAGCTCTTTCTCCTGATGTCTTCACTTTGTCATTTTCCTTTTCCTTGAAAGGACTATGATTCCATTGTGAAGTTGGTAGAGACTTTAGAAAAGCTGCCAACCTTCGATTTGGCCTCCCACCATCATGTGAAGTTTCATTATGCATTTGCTCTGAACAGGTAAGAAGCAGGCTCCTCCCTCCACCCACACGAATGCATTATTGTGTTATGCACAGATTGTTTACAGAGTTCTTGTCATGTTGCAATGACTTCTTATTAGAATGTAATATTCACATAGCAGTCTCTGCTACGTGAAACATGGAGAGCACGTATTCTGGTTTCTTTCTGATTCTTTGTATATTTTGCCAACAACAGTTCTTTTTTCTTCTCTGACCAAGTTTGTATTTGCTATTTATATTTTATCGACTTTTAAAGTTATACAAGCATGGCATTCTCTTTTGGCAAATACTGTTGTCCATTAGTATTTGTAAGGGACTGGTTCAGGTCCCCTTAAAGGTACCAAAATCAAACAATGTTCAAATCCCTTTCATAAAGTTTTATAGACTTTAAATCATCCCTTGATGACTTAGATTACTAAGTACGAGAAAGAGTAAACAGCATCATGATGTAGTCACTACACTGCATTGTTTAGGGAATAACAACAAGAAAAAAATTCTGTGCATGTTCTACATACAATTTTTTCTGATTGTTTCTAGTCCAGCATTGCTTGAATCCAAGGATGTACAACCAACAAATACATAGGACTGACTTTACACTCAACACCAAATGTACACTCACATGAAGATGAACTAATGGAGAGTAAGGACAGAATATATAAGTGAACATATTCCAACACACAGGATGGTTTTATCAGGACTTCTATGAAATCACCTAGTTATGATCAGAACTCTGTTGGTCATGGTTTAGATTATGTATCCATGAATCTGCTCCTACTAGGAATGGTATTGATGCTCCCAGTCCTGCCTTTGCCTTTGTCTGTATCATGGCAGACCTCAGCCCCACTTCCAATGTGCAGTTACCAGGAAGGGTCTTTCCTGCTGTAGCTGTGGGTAAAGCTAGAGCATCAGTCCCCCGAAACTTACTGAATTGCTCATTTCTTTTCTGATAAGAGAGTTGCCAATAGATAGATAGAGAAAGAGAGAGAGAGAGAGCACAACTAAAAGAAGTGATGAAAATGGGGAGATGTTACATTTGTGGAGCACTTGCCACATATCATATAAACTGAGATTATTGTTATTCTTTGGACAAGACCACTGGAAATGGGAAACGTTGCATAACCTTTCAGTGAGTAAGCTATTAAACCAGGACTCAGTCTTTCTTCCTTTTGGTCTGGTGGTCTGTGCTTCTCACTGCTAGCTCTTGCTGCTGCCTTGCTCTAGATGAAAAAGACACCAGGACACTCAGCTAGAAGCTGTGTCTTTCCTTGTTTTCCACTGAGCTGTAGAACATGCTATCAACAAATGAACACTGGAGTCTATTTTATCTTCCATTTAGACTTACCTTACCTTTTGGATGAAAACTCCAGAGTTTACCTGCTCTAACTGGTTCTCAAAGACATCCTTTTTTGAAGCAGAATGGATTATTTTATATTTTAAAATGGAATGTGAAAGTCCATAAGAAGCTCTTACAGTTTTGCTTTATGTATTTTTTGTAAAACAGCATTTAATGAAGTGAAAAGCATGTTTGAAGCAATATTCTTAACCCAAAATGTTTAGTAGAGAGGGTAAAAAGGAAATTCATGTAAGAAGATTTGAGATAGTAGTTAGGGATATGACAACTTTTTAAATAATAACTGTTGAAATATAATCCATATACTATGCAATTTCTTAGTTAAAACATAAAACTCAGTGCTTCTAACTTGTTAATATATTGTATAACCATCAACCTAACACATTTTGAACATTTTTATCAATCCTAAAAAAACTCCCTTACCCATTAGAATTTACCCTCTCATCCCACACCATCATCCAAACATTCTAACATGGCAATCACTAATCCACATTTTGCCTCTGTTAACTTGTCCCATTCTAGACCTTTGTAAATGGAATTACATAATATGTGTTTTGTGATTGACTTCTTCTACTTAGATTATTTTCACAGTCTAAGAAAAGCAAACTCTGGAGAACTTTTGTCTGGTATTGACAACTATCTGCACATGTTATTTTAAAATAAGCCACATAAAGAACTTCCTTAGGTAACCAGTAGGCCATACACCAAAACTATGTACTTCTTGGGTTGGATTTATTTTCTGGAATTATCTGTGAGTTTTCTTACAGTTTTAAAACAAAGGCTATTGAAACCTTAGGTTAAAAGTTTGTCTCTCTTTGGAAAAACTGACTCTTTCAAGGCCACAGACTGTGGTTCTATTTTTCGTTCCACCAATTTGAACCTGCATATGAACTGCATGAAGTCAGAACAACTGTAGGGAGTAAGTTCAACTCCATTGCCAGGAGCCATAGAGCAATTCAGGAGATCCTTTTTAGACCCCATACATGTGCAATAGGACAGAGAAGGATTACGAAAAGGTCTGTAAAGGACTCTCAAAATCTCATTGTTGTTGTTTTCTTGCCAAACTTAATTGATGTGAATCAATACATTATTTAGAGTTTTTAAAAAATAATGGGCCTCTACTTGCTTTTGTCGTCCATTTCAAAACAATATTCTCTACCTTAGGAGAAATCTCCCTGGAGATAGAGCAAAAGCTCTTGATATTATGATCCCCATGGTGCAAAATAAGGATCAAGTTGCTTCAGATATGTATTGCCTCCTTGGTCGAATCTATAAAGACATGTTTTTGGACTCTAATTTCACGGACACTGAAAGTAGGGACCATGGAGCTTCTTGGTAAGTATAGAGGATATAAGGAAGAAACTTACTTAATAAGCTCATGACATCCACAATTGCCTGTCAATGAGAATGCTAAAGTAAAATCTCTTAGATGACTATTGGGAAACAAATCTTAGATTTTATAGACTTTACATTTATTTAACATGACAGAATAAGTTGGGATGAATTAGATGAAAAAACAAAGATATGATTTGAGAAAAGACATTTGAAATAGAGAAAATCAACCCAATATAATATTGAATATTTTTAATCAGTCCAGAAAGAAACCTCTAGGCCATCATTATAGTTTATTAAATAAATAATTTAGAATAAACTATATGTGTGGAAAAACTAATAGGACGACATTAAAAGAGACCTGAACATGTACAAAAGTATATCAAGTTTGTGAATAAGTAGGCTTTATTTTTATTTATTTATTTTTATTATTTATTTATTTTTGTTGGTCATGGGGCTTGAACTCTAGGTTTGGGTGCTGTCCCTGTGCTCTTCAGCTCAAGGTGAGCGCTTTCTTCAGCCAGAGCACTGCTTCCCATTTTCTAGTGGTTTTTATTGGAGATAAGAGTCTTATGGACTTTCCTGCCCGGGCTGGCTTTGAACCAAGATCCCCAGATCTCAGCCTCCCAAGTACAGGCCTGAGCCACTGGCGCCCGGCTATTTTTATATTTTAAAGATGTTAATTCTCCCCAATAGGACTTTTCATTTTTTTATTTGAAAAAATAAAGTATCAAGAGTAAGCAAAGCAATTCTAGAGAAGAAAAAGGTGGAGAGATTTGCTCTACTAGATAGTGAGACTCACTATAAAGCTGCAACAATAAAAAAAAAAAAAGCTGCAACAATTAGGTTATGGCAATATGGCCAAAGACAGAGACAAATTAAACCCTGGAACAAACAGATTTATGATAGAGAAGCCCAAGATTCATGAGCCAGGGTGAAGGGATAGATTCTTCAGATGTGAAGATAGCACTGGGGAAATGTGTTTGTTTGCTTGGAATAATAAAGTTGGACCTCCTTCTTTCCCTCCCTCCTTTCCTCCTATCCTATCTCCATGCTTCTTTCCTTTTTCTCCTGCCTTCTTTCCTTACTTTCTTGCTAACTTTCCCATCTCCCTCCCTATCTTCCTTCCTTCTTTTCATCTTTCCTTTGTGGTTCTAGAAGTTGAACCAAGGGCCTCATGTTTGCTAGGCAAACATTCTACTCCTGTGCTACATTCCCAACCCTAGATCCCTATCTTAAACTCTGTGTAAAAATAAAATTTAAGTGAATTAAAAGCCAAAATATAAAAAAATATCTTAGAAAAACTACTTTCAGAATGAAATATACCAACTATATTTATGACTTTGGGATAGGAATGAATTTTTTAATCAGGGTTTACAAGTACCATAAACCATAAAAGAAAAGACTGGGGGGAATGGAGTGAGTTAAAAAGTACTTCTGCTCCTCAGGGCCATGGCTTTTGGAATGGGCACAGTAGGTTCTTGTAATGATCAATGGCAATTGTATCTTGGAATAAAAATTTAAAAAGCGATTGGGTCAGGCGGCATATGCTTACATTCTAAGCACCTGGAAGGTAGAAGCAGGGAATTGCAACCTCAAAGCCAGCCTGGCTTCTATACTGAGTTCACAACCAACTTGAGACTCTGTTTCAAAAGAAAGACAATGTTGGAAAGTACCAAAGAAGTACCAAAGTAACTCAGGAGATTTAGGACTAGGAGAGATTTTGATCGATGAATGAATTGCAGATAACACAGGACATTTAACTTTTCTTTTCTTTTCTTTTTTGGTACTGGGCATCGAACCCAGGACATTGCACTTGCTAGGCAAGTGCTTTGCCACTGAGCTACATCCCAGCCCAACAGAGGACATTTAAGCAACTTTTCCCCTGGGATTCTCCCTGGATATAGGGCACAGCATGACTCAGGCAGAACTCAGGCAGAAAAATCACAGCCTCAGCCTAAGGAGTCAGTGTGAGGCTGCCTGAGTGCCTAGGAATTGGGCAGGATCACCTCTAAATGAAGGTGCCACAAAGGGAGGATCTTCATGCCCCATATCCCCTTCTGTTCATGGCTAACCCCTGAGGTTCACAGGTAAGAATTGTGTGGGGTAGGAAGTGGCGCTGTAGCTCAAGTGGTAAAGCGCTCACCTTGAGCTGAAGAGCTGAGGGACAGCGCCCAGGCCCAGAGTTCAAGCCCCATGACCGACAAAAAAAAAAAAAAAAAAAAAAAGAATTGTGTGGCGTAAAACCACAGGCAATCCCATGTGAGGCTCAGAATTGAACAAAGGTTTCAGTCACTACCCAGTGCAAGGGAGTTAGAGTTTGGAGTTTGAACCCACAAGGAAGGAAGAGGTATGATATGGCAGGAAAAGTATTTGAAGAATTAATGGACAAATATTATCCTAATCTGATAAGACTAATCAGACACACACACACACACACACACACACACACACACACACATTTAGGAAGCTCAGAAAAAAAAAATCAGGATAAATAAAGAAAACTATCCCCTACATAATTGCTGAAGAAGAGAATTGCATAAAAACATCACAAGTGCAACATGGGAAAAAACAAACATATTTTATAAGGGAGAACGTAAGCCTTACTTTCTATCCAAAAGAGACCAGAAGACAATTGAATAACTCTCTTAAAATACTGAAAGAAAATAATGGCCAATCAAGAACTCTACACGTACCCAGTGAAAGTATCCTTCTAAAACAAAGGGGAAACCAAGACAATTCTCAGAAAAAAAACAACTGAAATTACCTGTTGCTAACATGCCTTCACTAGAAAAATGACAAAGGAACTTGGTGCAGTGGCTCATTCCTGTAATGCTAGCTACTTGGGAGGCAGAGATTGGGAGGATCAAAGTTTGAAGCCAGCCTGGGAAAACAGTTTATAAGGTTCTTATCTCAACTACTAAAATGTTGGGTGTTGTGTTTATCTGTCATCCCAGCTACATGGGAAGCATAAATAGGAGGATGTGGTTCAGGCTAATAAAGTCAAAACAAAAACAGAAAGGTTTGGGACATGACTTAAAAGGTAGATTATCTGAGTTCAAACCCCAGTACCACAAAAAGGAAAAAGTTGAAGGGAAGTGACAACAAATAGATTCTTGAATATATAGGAAGGAATGTATAACACTGGAAATGAGGAATGTATAAAACATTTTGAACAAACCAGAAACAAGGAACAATGTATGTAACCGATATGGAATTTAGTCTCGTTTTATAGCCACATAAATATTTTGACATTATCAAGGAAAGCTAACAATTTGCCTATTTTAGATGCAGTCATTCTGAGAAAAATGTAACATAAGTATATTATTCTATTTCCTAAGCTGAAAGGAGGCTATGTCAATATTGTATTGTTCAACAGAACATGTTACTACTTCTAAAATATTCCCAAATTAAAACATCTGTATCTATACATACAAAGGATTTCCACAATTCAGGAGTTTCTCCGTGGCAACCATAAAACACTTTCAAGTTGTAAAACTGAAATGTAACATTAAAATCTCCTGTCATTAGCTGGGTGCTGGTGGCTCATGCCTGTAGTCCTAGCTATTCAGAAGGCTGAGCTCTGATGGTCTCAGTTCAAAGCTAGCTCCAAACTAGAAAGTGAGTAAGATGCTTATCTCACAATTAGCCAGCAAAAAGCCAGAGGTAGAGAAGTGGCTTAAGTGGTAGAGCACCAGCTGTTGAGCAAAAAAGCTGAGTGAGAATATGTAGCCCTGAGTTCAAGCTCCAGTCCAACACACACACACACACACACACACACACACACACACACACACACACACACACACACACACCTGCCATCTTAGTAGGAGAGTGTCAGCGGAATAATGGGTTATAACCACAGAGAAAAACCAGTATCATGACTTCCTAGGTTCTTTGTAGGAAGAACCTGCTACTCTAGAGCTACAGTAGAGGAATGTAACTGTGAAGCCTTTTCATTATGTAGAGATTTACACTTCAGTAGAATTCTGACGTGTAAGAGAATTAGAATATGACATTTGAGGAACGTTACCTCTGATAGAAATGCTTTGACATGGTAGGGATAAAGAGAGCCCTAGTTTCTGCTCTGTGAACTCAAGTGGAAACCCATCATAAGAATTTGTGCACAAGAACAAAATCCATGTGCTTCCTCATGTTCAAAGTCTTGCCAATTCACGTAAGGAGCAGAGATTTGTCTGCTTTCATTCTGGCTTTATTTTGTCTGAACTTTTCTGGTTCTGTTTTATGCTTCCTAGTTAGCCTAGGAATATGAGCTGTCTTTCACAAGAGCTTTGTGGTCAAGCAGAAGATGTGCAGATGTTATGATCTTATTTTAAGCTACTGATTAGTTTTCTAGCAAGAACAGGGAACCCTGTGAGAGAGTTCACAGACTTTAATGATCCAGGCGTTAGGAGCTGATCTTGTGTGTGTTGCTGATTTATCTCATACTACAGGAATGTGGCTTTTGATCTTGATTGCTTACCTATAACTTGTCATTATTGGTGTAAAGGACACTGAAAAGCCATTTTAAAATGCTTTTGATCCCCTCACACTCATAAAATGATTTCAGTGTTTCCTACGACTTTGACCCACTAGCCAGGGCAGTGAAGGCACACATTCTGGCCCAGTGCTGGTGGAGGAAGGCATGGCGGGGGGAGGGCACCACAGAGGTTACAGGTTTATATCTACCCTCAAGTCCTGGGTCCCAGTGGGATGTTTCCACCCTCCTTCTTGTTTGAGTCACAAGCCTCTGGGTTTCCCCTAGTCAAAGGCGGGTGCTGGGATAACAAGTGGATCCTCATAGCATACTCCCTCCCATCCTGGACTTCTTTCCATAGAAAGTGGTTTTCTCTTGTTTGAATAAGCAATAGTCTATAGACCATGGAAAGTCAGAGGATACAAGCTTCAAGCTCTTGTAATGACAAAGGCTCATTGGGTTCCTTCTTGTAATGTCTATTTTACTTTATTTTATTCTTTAGCGGGATTAGAGTTTAAGCTTGGGA